GACTTCAAGGGGAAAGAATAAACTATTAAAATTTTATTTTTATATTTTTCTACTATTGTACTTTTAATTAAAAAAAATTTTTATAATAAACGAATTATTAGTTTTTGAGAAATTGTCATTTAAAAATTTCCAAATAATTTCCGGTACCACTGGTATTTATCATAGAAAAGTTTTTAAAAAATTTTTCTTTATATTAAAATAAATTATTTATTATAATGACATTAAGTTAATATATATAAACCTATTTTTATTTTTTATTTTTTTTGGTGCAGTTATGAATTTGTACATTTTTTTTGACGAGTTATTCTTTCGAATTTGGTTATATTTTACATTTTTTTTGTGCGATCCTAATGAATTTCTGTATTGTATGTATACAATATTTTAATACTTTTCTAATTTTTATCTCACATTTTAAACATATAATTAGCTTCATATTTTTTCTTTAATAAAAATTAAAAATTTAATTAAAAATCAGAAAGAAATAATTTTTTGTTAATGTTTATATTGCATTTATAAAATTTATAAAATAAAACTAATCGCATGAATCCGGTTTTATTTAAATTCGGTTTAAACCGGTACAAACCCTTATAATATAATTAATATATTTACATATATATATACTGTACATAATGATATCAACTTTTACCCTTCCTCCTTTTTTCTTTCCACTTCTAATTTCATCACTCCTTTAAATGATTTGTTTGCGCTAATATATCCTCTGCTTCTTTATTTTAAGCTTCATTTTTCTTACTTTTCCACCAATAATAGTACCAAAACGTTAGAGCAGCAAAGAGAAATGCATAACTGAACAAAAATGGTGTCATTTTATGAATTCTGTCTTTTTTACAGTCATGTGGATCAGATGAGCAATGGACTTGAACAATAAAAGCAGATATGATTATAAATAATCCTACCAATACAAAAAGCCAAACTAAAGATAATGGAGCTGTATACAATTTGTTTACTTCACTAGTTTCACTATTTTCGTCATGATTTAGATCCAGTTCACTATCACTTTTATCCATCTTATTTTTCTGTAATTTTTTGTTCTCTCTATTTCGAATTACTAGCAAACCTATGCCAGTAGCAAAGTAAAAGATCCAACCGCTATATATTGAAAACTTTGAATAAAATTGAAAGCTCGTAATAGTAAAACTACTACCCATCAATATAAACATCGAGCACCAAATGAATTGTGCTAATAAAGCATTGATTGGCGTGTCGCGACTTTCGTGTAATGTGCTCAATTTGCGCGAATATCGAGAAAGAAAATAATCCGACTCGGCTGCTGCAACAATAACTCTTGAGCCGCTATTATAAAATAAAGTTATTTTAGCTTACAGGATAAGTTATTATGAATCATGAATTATATTGAGAAATAAATTACCTCCATATATTTGATGCAGCAGTACCAATTACGGAAAGTACAATTAGAAAAGTAAATATTCTGACGATACTTTTTCGATCATTAAATAAATTATTAAAAAATATTGCGCCTATAACTTCATTCTCGTTTTCATGATTAAATACGTATTCTTGGGTGACAACAGAAATATATGCAACGTTTACAAAAAAATCTAAAGTTGAAAAAATTTGTTAAATTTTTAACTCGGGTCATTCAAAACTTAATAATTATAATTAATATACATACATAATACTGTAACAATTAATACGCTGATACTATTACTAAAAAGAAGTTTCTTTTCTACCTTTTTAAATTCGTCCAGCGAGTCTACAAAAAATAAATAAATAAAAAAATAATTCGTTACTACAATAATTAAAAAAATAATTACATAATTTGAATGACTTACAATTTAAAGTATTCCATCCGTTATAACTAAACATAACCTAAAAATAAAAACAACATTTGAACATATTTTTCTAATATGATCTTTTCAAGAGAAAAAAAGGCGACTATAATTACCAATAAGAAAGCAGAAGAGTAAGCAGTAAAATCTGTATTTACACTCTTTGAGTATTGCCAATTATTCCGGCTTGTATCCGTTGATAATTGAAAAAGACCGGCTATAGCAATCATGGTATATGTAATTAATTTTATAATTGCAAGGGATTGATTTATCATGTTAGCCAATCTATTATTAATCATATGATAAGCAGTTATAACAAATAAAATTGCAATCGCAATTAATTTTATAGTCCTAAGGTAGAGTAAATTTTAATATTAAAATTTTGCAAACGTTTATTTAAATTCGTTAAAATATATTTATCCTACCAAAATGGAGAAAATGGAAGGGTCCATCCAATTTTCTCATATTTAATTTCATATTTATATTGATCCTCTTTAATAGTATACCAAAAATATTGCGCCGCAGATTGTAAAACCGCACTTGTGATTGCTGGCTTGATTGCGCTAATCAATAAAATTGTATAATCAGATGAAAATTAACTAAATTCCAAACTCTGATTTGCTCGAAACTTACGTAATGCACATGAAGCTAAAAAGATAACTAATGCAATATTTTGGATTCGGAAATGCTGTTTGCAAATATTTTGTTTCTCCTCCACTTATTTTATGTTTAACACCAAGTTCAACGTAGGATAACGATCCTAGCATACTAACGAGTCCACCTATAACCCATAATATTAATACGACTGTTGGGGATTGTACTGAATTCCAAATAATTCCTGGTACGGTTACAATTCCTGACCCAATTATGTTGTTTATGTTCATGCCAATACCATAAACAACGCCTAAAATCTTTACTTTTGGTTGAGGCATATTTTTTGTAACGACGTGTTACCTTTTTTGCTTTTTTTTAATTATTTTAGAAATTTGGTTCAACGAAATAATTCATACGTTAAATTCATGAGCTTTATATATTGTTAAGATTTTGATTATTTTAATACGTGTTAGGAAATAATCTTCTATCGATAAATGATTTTTAAAAAAGGTTAAATCTTTGATTTATTTCTCAATTTGTGTAATTTCGGGGAATTCCGCGAGCGTATCACCAAAAAAAATTGTTTTAATTTAATATAAATTACACATTCATAAAAACGGACTCATTAAATATGATGCTAAGAAAGGGTTCACAATGAAATTTTTTTTTTTTTTTTTTGTGGAAATAATGATGAGAACCGATTAAATTGTTAGCCACCGGTTAAAATAAGTCTTAATTAGCCCCGATTAACCGACTTTTAACCGAACTTGGAACCGTTGAAATTTTAAGTGTATATACAATACATACGATATATGCATGTATAAAGATGCATTCATTTTTTTTTTTTTTTGGCCCTTCTAATTTCTTCTCTTCTCATAGATTCATCTTCCTATTGCACTTTTTATTTGCTCCGTTATTTTCAATTTATTTTTCGTAGGCGTAATTAATAATACCAAATTATTAATTGGGATTGGACGTACGGTTCAAAATATTAGTGTAAAATCGACATGTAATTTGTAATAACTGCAAAGCATGTGATCAAAAGCTATGAATAAATTGCAAGGAAATTAATTAATTTACAGAAAGTACAATTAATTAGAAAAAATACATAACTAAAAATGACTAAAAGAAATTTTCGTATTCTTGAATTACAATAAAAATAAATTTATGAAAGATTTACATATTTGTAAAAATTTTAAAATTAATGGCAAGGATTAAATAATAGTACTGAACAGAAGTTTCTTTTCTACATTTCTAGATTCGTCTTAAATAAATTAAAACGAAAAAAAAAAAATTGAAATTTTTTTTTTTCAATAAATAAAATTTGAGCAATATATAATTTTTCAAAAAGGTATTAAAATCCGCATCTAAATGAACTTTAATATCCGGCAGGAACTTTTAAATATCGATCGAAGACCTGCTGGATGTTTGATATATTGAAATTTGTCACGTAATAAAGTCAAAATTTAATTTTAACAACCGAAGTCAACGGCTGTAAGAGTAAGCAGAGTCGATTCCGTTATTTTCAAATGACTGATTCGCTTATCACGAATTTTCTAAGTATTCAGGCAGTTTTAATTCTGGCTAAATGATTTTCTTTTTATTGGAAATCGTAAAAATTGAGTTTTGAGAACCACTTTACTAGTTTGAAACTCCGCCAATCGTGAGCAACTAGATCAATAAAATACTGTGGTCGCACAGACCCAGTGCCGCTAAATAAATTAAAAATACCACTTAGAGATTTGATATATTAAATTCCGTGATTTGCCTTTTTTTATTATGTTATTAAGAGAGATTTGATAATTATTTATTTAGGTACACTCCCCGGTCAAAAGTATTGGACCACGTGATTTTTGATACTCAAATTGATGTGATAAAAATGCATAAAAATGAACAAAATTTTTTTCCCACATAGTTACAAGCTTTAATATTTGAATATATATACAGTATATATTTTTAATGCTAAAAATCTAAGAACTTATTGAATTTGAACAAGGTGAGAAAATTAGCCCTGAAAAGGTGTCCATAGCGAACGAAATATTATAGATATTCTTGTTCATTCTATCTCATTTTTTATTGTTTCAAAATGATGTATTTGGTGTCGTCCTCATGAAAATTATGTTTAATTCCCATTGTAAAATCAGCAAAAATATGATATAATTATATATAGAGGTATTCTATGAAAAATAATATTGGAGTTTTAATTCAAGTTTCTGGTAAATTGTGGGTTTTTTGTATATATTGAGATTTAAAAAATAATCTTTTGCCTTTTACTGATGAGTTGGGAATTGAATTAGAATATAATTTTTAAGATGAAATGCATCAGTTCATTAAGCAAAGCAATTAAGCAATAGATAGAAAATATGGTAATTCAATCTCAAATATTTAATGGTCTGCATAACCACCTGACTTAAATACAATTGAGTATCTATAGAATATTTTGAACAGAAAGGTTTGTAAACATAACGCGATTCGTTTAAGGTCAAGAGTAGATTTATTAATTACACTACTGTCGAAAATGTTTTTGTGAATGTATAATGAGAATTTATTTATGCTTTAAGAGGAAAGCCTAAAATATTAAAATAATAATAATAATAATAACGTTATAACAAATTATTTAGGCTGTATAACTATTAATAATTATTAGGAAGATGTGTAAAATTCAGTCGTGTCGATATCAGCTTGTTGCTTTTTCTTCAAACACCATGACATCAAAGCAATGAAAAGAAATCCGTAACTCAAGTATATAGGATTTCTTACTATATTTATACAATTTCTTTTATCTGAACATTCAACTATTAATGGATATAATAGTATAAATATTCCTGCCAATATAAATAATCCTGTTATGGGTAACCAAACTTTAAAGGGACGATGTTCCTCGGGCCTTTTATATCGTAACACCTAGTGATTTTCAAAAGGTTGCATATTTAAAAAAAAAAAAATTTAACGTGTATATATATATATACTTTTTTTTTAAAAGGAAAAAAAATTCCCTTCACATACCACTAATCCTACACCAGTAGCCAAATAAAAAAACCAAAGACTATAAATTGCAAACATTTTAAATGATTCACGACTCGTGATTGTTTTATTCTCACCAACAAATAATATAATTAGTGAACACCAAATAAATTGCACTAGAAGTGCATTAACTGGTGTATTATAATCTTCATGCCATGTTCTTAATTGATCCGAATATACTGGAAAAAAGTTTGATCTTGCTGCTGCAAGAATAACTCTTGATCCACTAAATTATTTTTAGAAATTTATTAAAGATTTATTATAACGTTTGATATATGAAAAGTGTGATAATTTACCTCCATACCAAAGCCGCAGCAGTTCCAATTACAGAGAGTGCAATAAGTAAAGTGAAAATTCTAACAACTATATCGCTTTTAAATAATTGAGAAAAGAATGATGCTGCTATAGTTTCATTTGTCGTTTCATTATCCACGTCTACTTTTGGTAAAACAGAGATATATGCAATATTTACGAGAAGATCTGTAAAAAAAAAAATGCGTTCAAATTGAGAGTTGGGATAAAGTTCAAGTTCACACTTACACATTATAGAGACGATTCCAACGCTGATGCTATTACTGAAAATCAATTTCTTTTCCGGATTTCTAAATTCGTCTAATGAATCTACACAACAATTAAATTTATTCATATATAAACTTTTTTTCGAAAGAAAAATACTAAAATTCACAAGACTTACAATTCAAATTATTCCAGCCATTATAGGAGAACATAATCTATAAAATGAACAATTAAGTTTTTCAAAAAGAAGATTCAATTTATCATCACTCATGTATATTTACTTACCAACAAAATCGAATGAGAGTATTCTATGATTCCTGTATCTACTTTTAATGGTTCATGCCAATTACTGCGACTTGTCTCCCAATTTATAATCAATTTAACAATTCCTATTATTGCTATAATTGAATATGTAATCAACTTGATAATCGCCAATGTTTGGTTGATAAGACTTGCCCACCTGTTGCTGCGCATGTGATACAATGTTATAATTAACAAACTTGCAATTGCAATAATCTTTATACTCCTGAAAGATAAAAATAAAATAATAAAGATTGGAACTTTAAATTTGTAATCTAAATTCATAAGAAATAAAATGATTCATTCATACCACATCGGAGAAAATTTAAAGTTGTCGTATTCCTCAGGATCTTTATCGTATTGAGATCCCGTAATGGTATACCAAAAATACAGTGCTGCGGTTTGCAAGACAGAACTTATAATTCCTGGTTGTATTGCACTAAAAGTATATTTTTCATTACTTTAAAATCATTTCTGATAAACTTTTAAAATTCAGAATGTAGTGAACGTTAACATTTACAAAATAAACATAAGGCTGAAAAGGTAGCTCATCATAAGTTTCGGTTTTGGATAAGCAGTCTGTAAATATTTCGTCTCTCCACCACTTATTTTATGCATAGCTCCAAGTTCAACGTAAGTTAACGTTCCTGTCATACTAATAAGTCCACCTATAAGCCATAAAATTAATATAATCCTTGGAGACTTTACTAAGTTCCAAATAATTCCTGGTGAAGTAACTATTCCTGATCCTAATACATTATTTACATTCATACCAATACCATAAAATACACCTAACAATGAATCATCGTGTGACATATTAGGTTCGGAAATAATAGAACTTATATTTGGTTGTATAAGTTCGTTATTTCCTTGATTAATTTGCAAGTAATTTGGAGGCGTAGTATCAACTTTGCTTTCAGGCATTTGATTCAAAAAACAATTTAAAACTCAAAAAAAAAAATTCTTGTTTATCTTATAGTAAATGCGTTTCGTTCCAAATAACCAAATTTTTCAGATACAAAGTCGGATATTTTTCCTTTTGAAATAATTTTTAAACTACATACAGTTTATGCTATATAGATGTTGGTGCCAGGAGGACCGGGAAAACTATTTAAGGTCCCCGCCAAAGTATCAAAAAAACATATGACTGCGAATCGTATATGATTGGCTATTGGCAATTTATTCACATGTATCTAGTCCAAGTATAGTAATCTAACCAAGAAAGAAAAGATTAAAAGTACTTTTCGAATCTAAACTTTGTGGTGTCATTTAATAGGTGATTGCACTTTATATAGTGTTAGCTATGGTCATTCCCAAAAAAGAAAGAATAGGTAGGAAAAAACGGTTGTTTATATATGATTTTAAAAAAAAAAAAAAATTGGGACAAAAATTTTTTGTAATTTTTATTACGTAATTATGTAAAAAAAAAAATTAAAATAAAAAATAATGATTACGAGTACTAATATTTAAAGTAATGATAAAAATCAAAGAATTTTTCCAAAACCTATGCTACCGATCTAGCCTAAAAAAAAATAAAATTAATCAAATAATAGTGTAACGATACGATATATTAAAAAAAGTCACCGTCGATCTAAACGGGGACCGTGGTTAAGTCCGAAACGATCTTAACTAAAAAAAAATATTGCAAAATCTTATAGTAAATGCGTTTCGTTCCAAATGTGACACAAATAACCAAATTTTTCAGATACAAAGTCGGATATTTTTCCTTTTGAAATAATTTTTAAACTACATACAGTTTATGCTATATAGATGTTGGTGCCAGGAGGACCGGGAAAACTATTTAAGGTCCCCGCCAAAGTATCAAAAAAACATATGACTGCGAATCGTATATGATTGGCTATTGGCAATTTATTCACATGTATCTAGTCCAAGTATAGTAATCTAACCAAGAAAGAAAAGATTAAAAGTACTTTTCGAATCTAAACTTTGTGGTGTCATTTAATAGGTGATTGCACTTTATATAGTGTTAGCTATGGTCATTCCCAAAAAAGAAAGAATAGGTAGGAAAAAACGGTTGTTTATATATGATTTTAAAAAAAAAAAAAAATTGGAACAAAAATTTTTTGTAATTTTTATTACGTAATTATGTAAAAAAAAAAAATTAAAATAAAAAATAATGATTATGAGTACTAATATTTAAAGTAATGATAAAAATCAAAGAATTTGTCCAAAACCTATGCTACCGATTTAGCCTAAAAGAAAAATAAAATTAATCAAATAATAGTGTAATGATATATTAAAAAGTCACCATCAATCTAACCTAAAACTACAAACAATCAAATAAACTAGGGAGCGGGAACCATGGTTAAGTCTTCAGAAGGGACCGTCCCAAATAAGGAGAACGGTTACACAATTCAAATTTTTTTATATATTTTACAGTACATTTTTGATGCTCTTTGCGCAACCTTTCTCCACCATAAAATATGACAAATGCATTAAGCAAAATTTGAGTATTTGCACTACTCTACAATATATTTTTTTAATCCCCATTAATTCTACGCCTTTATATTGTTATTAGCTGTTAAAGATATGTCTGAGACGAAGAAATATATAGAATGCCAAACTGTTGAGTCAGCTAAATTTCGTTTGTTAAAGGGAGAAAAATGGAAGGAAGTTGAGAATAATAATTTAGCAAAGGTAACATAGAATGAAGGTATTCTCTTATGTAACAATATGCTATATACTTTTGTAAAAAATCCTTTAAAAAAAGGCCGTAAGAAAGTAAAAATCATGGATGAACAAGTTACAGGTAAAAATATTATGACTGAGGAGGTAAGTATGAAGGTTAACTTTACAGAAGCTATTAAGGTGATGGCAAAGATACTTTACGATAGAGAACATTCCTAGAAAGAAAAATCCATATATTCGTTCGATAAAATGCAAAGAATATTTCAAGAAATTAAACTGAGTTTGAAGAATTTTTTTGACCAGCTCTATTTAGTGGCTCGACCACTTGAACGTAACAAACAAATGATGGACCATATGAAAAAATTGATGCTTTTTATATGTTATCTTCTAGCATTACTAAATAATACAAAAATTAACTCTTTTAAATTTGATCTTGGATTTTATTTAGATTCAGTAGGTATAAGTAATAAAGGCCTAAATATAATGATTAATCTTAGCGTATCTACAACATCGAAATTGATAGATCAAAAAAAAATATTTGATACGAATGAAGAATATGTAAAGAAGGCTCTTGCAAAACATTCAGAGAATTCATTTGTTCTGAACATAGATGATTATCATAATATTTATGCTCAGAGATGACCTGATACTACCAGTACGTCTTGGGTAACACATATGGCAACAATTATAGTGAATCTATGTCTAATTCCTGCAATACCGTAAAGTGAAGTAATTAATTTAAAGATCATTAATGCTAAATTGATCACTAGGTATCTTGAAAAACGATTCATCTTAAACCTCAGAGTTTTATATTATGATCACAAGCGGAATAGTATAAGAGTAAATTCTCCTAATAATGATGTTATTGACAGCTTGATGATTCACAGTTACAATGATAGACTAGTGGGAAAAGAGGGTAGTCAGCATATAAAAAATGCTATCCTTATCAATTTTGTTGAAAATGGTTTGAAAGGTATAGGAGGATATACGAAAGCTCTCTAAATCGTATATGACTAAGAACTGATGTAAGAGTACCTTTCCAATAACGCTATTCCTATTGTTGCAGATTGGCCTAGACAGTTCTACATTTATAAAGCTATTATGCAAAGCCTTCTCGTTAACAATAAAACCATTTCTTATTTTGTTATATCCTTTTTACCTATAATGGATCCTCTTCACGTATTGCTAAATGGTCGTGAATTCATTTTTCTACAAAACTCTTTTTTTTCAACAACATTTACAAAGGCATATTTGATGTGAACAAGGAACTTGGTAAAAAACTATGATCTTGAAGAATTAACTTAATTCTTCATATTATGCGTATAGCGTGATTTAATATATCAGAGGTTGTTTATTTGAAAATTAGGCGTACAAGCAAAAATATAGAGATTTTATATTTAATAGATCTATTAAGTAACTTAGTTTCCTTAGTCCTTGACGTTTACATAGTACACCATTGAAGAGGTAATTGGCCTGCTTATTAAGAAGCTTATATGTAGTGCTGGAGTGATCTGTTCCTTTAGTTTGATAGGAGGAATTACAAACTTGTCCCTTTAATGTTTTTCTCTAATGTTTTTTATTGGATGAAGACTAATCATCCAATCTTTGATATGATTACTAATAATCTTGCTTTTCTAAATGATTGTTCTATCGAACTTATTCACAGCATTATATGATGATATATCGCTAAGTTTTTCACAGTTTAACAACTGCAGAAAAAAGCATATTTCATCTTTTAGCAGCAGGATGAAAATGAATTTAGGCAATATTTTGTAAATACCATTAAATATCCATATACGCTAAAGCAATTAAATAATCTTTTCTAGAAGTATGCTATATAACTCTTGAATATCTTTACGAAAATTTACCAAGCATGTTATATATATCCTTCAGTTATTAAATCATCATCCAATAGTATTAATACATATAAATTGCCTTCTTTAGGTTATGATATGGCCGATCATCACCTTCTGCAGGATTTCGTTACTTCTAAGAAACTAAATACTACCATTCTTTGTGATTATTTGTATTGTGAATATAATGGCTATTTGATTGATGGTATCATTCTCGCATGTGGACATGGTTACCATAACCATTGTCTAAAAAGATACCAATTTAAATGTTTGATATATTTAGGATATCTTCAAGACAAGGTTAAAAAAAATGTCAATGCTCTAATAATCAGTTTTACAAAAAAATCAGGTGAACAAGAATCTGTTGAAGAAGATACTGAAAAAGATGCAATTGAAGGAGATTTGAATGATGTAGATGAGGCAAAAAATGATATAAAAGTAGAAAATTTGTTAGAATATGCAAAAGAATTATTTATAAATTGTAAAATTTTTATATATTTACATTATTATAATCACAATTCAAATAGTTAATTAAATAAATATCTTAAAAGATTTAATTTCTTGATTAATTAAAATTTCTAATATTATGGCTTTCTAAATCATGTGATTTCATTACAAAAATTGTAATTTTGATTAGTTGACTGATGCATCATCTCCTTACTAGATTTGAAAATTTTGTGTAACTAAAGACTGTCCCTTCTAGCATAGTGAAATTTTTTTAAAAGGTTATGAGTCGTAATGATCCTTTTTATATTATTCTATTATAAAATATATAAAATATATATAAAAATTGTAAAACATATCGCATATACGATGGCTTTTTTCTCACTAAGCTTTATAAAAAAAAATTTTACAAATATCAAAATAACCTTTCGTTTGCTTTTTTAATGGTAGAGATCAAATTAGATTTGGTTGATTTTGGGAGTAATTTAATAATTAAAAATGACGAAAAATTATTATTAACGAATTATATTGTTACATGAAATTCAATTTAGGTGAAAATAAAATAGATTATTATATTATTTTTATTTTTTTTTTAATTATTCTCTTTGTATTTCTAATACTAATTAGTGTTACCAATTACAAATATTTGTCAACTCTTTTTCTATCATTATTTCTATAAGTGTATCTTTATTAATTACTTCTATTTCTTCTTCCTCCTCCTGAACTTTTTTTTCCTCTCCTTCCAAATTTCTATCTTCTTCAGTAAGCATCATAGAGCTTTTTTCTAACTGATTTAAAAAGAATTTAACATTTGTCTCAATCCTTTTCTTATAATAATCTTCACAATACCTACACTTATATTCTAAATATGCAAGGCAACCCCAATGATAACCATAACTACAAATTAATACTTTACCATCATACATATGATTATTTGCAATAAGTAGTTTATTGCATAAGTCATAATTATTTAGTGAA